TATGACACGGAATAGATCACTCAATAATTGCCCTGTTTTATTCATTCCCTCTGAAGCATCTGGCACAGGCCAGTGTTGGAAGACAGGATACTGGGCTTGCTGGACCATTGATCTGACCCAGTATGGCCATTCTTATGTTCTTCTATAAAACTGAGTCATGGTATATAAAACCGGTCAGCAGTTTGTTTGTTTGTTTTTGTTGAAAATGCTGATTTGTGGAACCAGAACTTTTTGCAGGAATGTCTTGGTTTCAGGACAACTTTAGTCTGGAGGTTTTTCAAGTCCAGGATGGAATTTATGGTCAAAGCCAGAGAAGGAGACATTCACTGCAGAGTAGCCAACAGTCCAGTGGTTAAGACACTCACTGGGGATGGGAGACTCAGGTTCAAGTCCTTGCTCCAAATTAGGCAGAATAGGGACCTTGGGTATCCCACTTCCCAGGTGAGTTCCCTAACCACTGGGCTATCAGCTGTTCTAGGGTAGATCTGTCTCATATGTTTCTTCACAGAATTTTCAAAGGGCTCATTTTGGATCTGATGTGGAACAAAAACAAGTTGTGAAACCTCAAAAAAAATTTTTTTGCAGAACTGAATTCTTTTTTTCTGGCCAGCCCTATTGGTGTACTGTGTGTTTATGTGGCTGAATTCTGGTATGCATGCAAATGCAAATGCATTGTAACCTTGTTGAAAATGAGTGCTTAGGCTCTTTAATTTGTGACTGCTGAGTACTAATTGCAGATTTTTGATATTTTTGAAAAACAGAGAAAGTAATCCAGCACCATCAAAGGAAATAATTCATATAACTTTCAGTTGATCCGGGGCCATTCTTGTTACACCCTTTCGTTCATTGTTTTAATATGGCAAGATTATTATCTTGTTCTCTTATACTCCTTTAGAAACACACATACATATATGTTCAGATAAAAGTGCATGGCAGGTTACACATGTACCTTTAAATACACTATACCTTTTAGTAGAGCTGGCCATAAATTTTTATTTAAAACTTTTCTTTGACACAAAATGGCTTTTTTTCAGAAATAAAGGGGAAGGGAATCAGAAATCAGAAAAACAAAAAAAAAAGCATGTAAAGTAAGAAGTAAAAAATTTAAAGAAAATGAAACAATTGTCAACATTTTCCACAAAACAAACTTACTAATTTTTGACCATTTCTACATTTCAGAGGTAAAATGTGTTGAATTTAAATAGTACTGTGTTGCACTGACTGCACATGTTAATGGTACCATCAAGTGAGGTAAAGCTGAGGCATAAGGGTGCAGTGGAGCATAGTCTGTAGTGTTACGAAAGGGGTTCTGTTCTTCAAACAACAATGGTGATTGCTTCTCAAAGATCTCTGTTTCCCCAGCACATTAGGAAATGTCTACACTGCACAGAATTGATGTGTGTAGTACATGCACGACACACATCCCTACCACAGCTATAAATAGCAGTGTAGCTGGCAAGGTTCTGCTTAGGCGAGTAGAGTACAGACACACCAGATCCATAGAGGTATGTACCCTACACGGTTCTCTATGTGCCCAAGTAGTGCCTCCCCTGTCTGCACTGCCTCCCCACTGCTGGAGCCTTTTCCTGCCGCAGGGAGCTTCCGGAGCCTTTTCCCACCCCAGGGAAAGACTCCAGCGATGGGGAGCTGCCAGAGCCTTTCCCCACTGCCTTCCTTCTGTCAGAGCCTTTCACTGCGGCATGCAGCTACACACTGCATTGTGGGTGGAGCCCACTTTTCAATGAAGCATGTAGCAAAATGTAGCCTACATGCCAGCACCAGTGGCGTGCTGTGTAGATATACCTTTAGGCAGAAGACCAAACCAACTTCCTTTGAGTGATGATATGACTAGGTGTGTGAGCAGTTTTGCTCTTCAGTGATAATACTATAACCCCCCTCCCTTCAGTTATCACTGGGGAATCAGCTATTCATCTCCTCTTCAAATTCAAACCTGGCATGATAACTGGCACTCTTACAGTGCAGACTATCCTCCATTGCTTAGATACTTTCCACCAGCAGTGCCCCAGTACTGATTCTCCCCCATGCATTCCATAAAGCTCTTTGGGACTTAGCATCCTCTCTGTTTTAGGAATGTAAATGTTTAAGTCAACAGCAGATGACAGATCATATGTGTACACTTGGGATTTTAAAACTCATCCTGAACACTGCGACTTGTTTGTACACATTCTGTCTCTCTAGTTCTCTCTCAGTCCTGTGCTCTTGTTCTTTCTGCATCAGCTTTTTGATTCAGTTGACCATGGGTTGTTGCATCAGTGTAAAAGGGACTGAAACTTCACTCCAGTGGCTCCAGTCAGCCAAGGAGACAGAACTCAAGCAGTGGTGAGGAGTAATTGTGCATCATCACCAAACGATTTGAAATGAGATCCAAGGGCTGGAAGCTGAGGCTAGACAAATTCAGACTAAAAATAAGGTGCAGGCTTTTAACTGAGAGGGTAATTAGCCATTGGAGCAATTTACTAACAGTTTTGGTGGATTCTTCATCATTTGCAGTCTTCAAATCAAGATTGGATGTCCTTCTAAAAGATATCCTCTAGCTCAACCATAAATTATGGGCTTGATGCAGGAATCACTGGGTGTATTATGCAGGAGGTCAGACTGGGGGATCATAATGGTTCCTTCTAGGCTTAAAATCTATAAGAGGTGACAACCCTCCAAGTTCTATAATTTTCTCCATGTTGTTCAGCACCTACATGCACTGTTATAATTCCTTAACAGAGTACAAAGCACCATCAGTATGCTGTATTTCTGTTATCGTGTGGTCTCCTCATGTGTGATCACTACTCTAGATGTATGCCAGGGCACTATCTGTTGAGGGGATTGTTCAGTAGTAGTAAACAAGGTTAAAAATCTTGGCAGAGTTTTGGACCAAGATCTTTCCAGAGAAAACCCTATGTGTCGAACAAAGGACACTGTATGAGCAGTGTTTGTCATTATTTATCCTATGATGACTTGTGAAAACCAACAAATGACCTCATGACCACAAGGTTCACTGATTGTAATTTCCTCCTAGCAGTAATCAGAACAGGCCTGTCCATTGCTTGCAGCTTATTTGAAATGCAGCAGCATATCTACTCACTGACTTGAGCCCTGCATTCTTTGCATTGTCTGCCTATATAAGCCTTTACTCCTGGGCAAATTCTGCGCCATTGTGCACGCACAGAATTCATATCCCGCGCAGAATTTTTTTTCTCTGCAGAAAATACATTCTGCCAGAGAGGTGCTGCAGTTACACCTTTTGCCCATCTGGGGCTGCTGTGGCACCAGAACAGAAAGCAGTTGCTTCTGGACGGGAGCAGCCCCAGCTGTGGATAAGAAAGAGAAGAAGCTGGGTTCCTGAGAGTTCCCTGCCTGTGGGACCATGTCAGGAGGCACAGGATATGGGGGCACATGGGGCTGCTGGGGGAGGTCACAGACTGGGGTTCAAAAGGGTTAGTGAGAGGGACAGACTTGAGTGGGGACTGAATGGGAGTGGGGTGCAGGGACACATGGGGATGGGGGGAAGGGGTTGGATGAGTGGAGGTGCATGGCCACGGGGGAGAGGGGGTGCAGGGACACATGGCGGATGAGGGGCTGGCTGAGTGGGGGTGCAGGGACACATGGGGATGGTGGGGGGGTGCGGGGACACATGGGGACAGGGGGTGCAGGGACACATGGGGACAGGGGCAGATGTGCCTGACTGAATGAGAGAGGCTAGGGGTCAGCCAGGGTCTACATGGGGGAGGCTCCCTAACAATCCCTCCCCCCCCATGCAAAAAAACCTGTTCCATACTTCTCCCACCCACACCCAACAACCCTCCATGTTCACACCCAGGCTGCTTCCCAGCAATTACTTCCCTCTCCCTCAGCTCCTCCATTACCCCTGACTCCCCCAAGCCTTTGCACTGGTTCTGACAGGTGTGGGAAATGCATTTCTGTATTGTAGTTTAAATGAATTGTTACTCAAAGTTCTGTATTAATATGCCTAGTAAGGAATCTATTTATCAAAAACATTTCCTCAATCTTTTTTGTTGTCTGTATTGGTACAGACATACTTGCTGACAGGTATTTTGAAATAAGTTACCAAAATAATTGAAACTGGTGTGATTATATTGTGTTGTTTTGACAAATAAAATATGCAGAATTTTAAAAGATTGTGCAAAGAATTTTTAATGTTTTCAGTGCTTAATGCCCCCAGGAGTAATAAGCTGGCACGCTTGGTTTCTAAAACCATTAACAATTTAGGTTAAGGCTGCAATGGAGACCTCTTTGAGCATCATTTGGGAGAGCATCTCTGCTCACACAACACCTGATGTGAAGGGCTCTCCCCTTCATGTGTTAAGTCAGCAGGGAATTACTCCTTTGCTATAGGATCTAGGATATGTAGAGTATGTAGGGTATGCATGTAGGCTAAGTAGGGTATGCACCTTGCTCCTTGTTGAAAACCATCTCAATCCACTTTCACCTGCTTCTGGAAAGCATCTATTATTATTTAACACTGATCAAGATCAGGGCCTCATTGGGATAGGCTCTGTACAGGCACTTAATTTTTTCCCCAATTATGCTTTTTAGAATATCCATTGTTGAAAGCATATATATATATTAACTTACCCTTCTATTCCTATTTCTTTTAATATCAGACTTCCTTGTTTGTTATCTGTTTGAATGTTAAAAGGATGCATTTTAATTATGTTATTATTACCTTTATTTTGTCTTCTTTATGTTGAACAAAGGCTACTAATGAATTTTAAATACTGATAGCAATAGCTAAGCTTTAAAATTATACATTTTAATTTTTACAACTGATTCTACAAGAACTGAAGTATGTTTCTTCCTGAAAATTAAAACCAGTCAATCAAACAAAACCTTTTATTCATCAAATCCCAAGATTACTGTAACTATATATGCTGTTTGGTGGATAATTTTCAGAGATTGTATTAATTTGGGAATGTGCTTGTTAGAAAGCAGGTTGTCAATTCATGATTCCTTCACTTTTGTGGCAGAAAACTACTTCATAAAAAATGGCACTTCGGACGCACTACTCTGTGGCAACAGCTCAGACGCTGGGTAAGTGCAATTAAAAAACATCTTTGCTTCTTCTCTTTTCTTTCTTTGACACATTTTGGTTCAGTTCTGTCCACTTTTAACTGGCATGAAGTAGGGATTTCAACTTCCCAGTGTCAGTAATAATGGAAACAAAGATAATGACAATATCATGCATAATAATACAATTTTCTAAACAGCAGAGGAAAGAGGTTGGTGTGTCTCACTTATCGAGGTCTGAATTCTTTAGCGACCTTATTACAAACTCCTTTTTCAATCAGTTTAATTTTCTCCTCAAAAAAGTGCTTGGAACTCAATAACATTTTGGCTGAGTGGATAGTAGTTTAAAGGAAATGAAAGGTGAAGAAGGAAGCAGAAAAGTAGAATGGGGAAATTGATGATTAATTCCAGTATTTCTAGCAGAGGAGGAAGAACAGAATAATAAATTCAAACCTTTGGCCAGTACTGAAACCAAGATATTTTGGACATGCAAAGACACTTTGTTAATTTGTGAGCTTTATGTGCATGTAATGCAGGTGTAGAAGGTATGTATTCCAGTTTCTCAAACCTCTGCAGGCAACAGAAGGAGCAGGAAATATAGGCCTCTTGAGATGCTAATTCAGGTTAGCTGCATAGAGGCAGGGTAGAAGCCTTCCTTCACATACTCACCACCTGTACACATAGTCCTTCTCAGCTGTCTTTGATCCTGATTCTCCAGGCTCAGTGGAAGGTGGTGTTGTGGTGGAGGGATTTTACCTGGGATTTACTTTACCTTGTGAGCCTGAGAGGATTTGGAAGGAGGTTAAGCTATGAGGTGAGGAGAAGGGCTTATGATGGGAGGGGAGAGGGTTTTAAGCCCTTGGGAGGTTCTGAGCTGCAGGAAGTTGGGTAGGAAGGAAGAAGGGGGATCTCAGAGTGAGGGGGTTTGTTTTTGAGTTAAGAGGGAGAGAGAATTCTGAGTTTGGTAGGTGGGTGAGTAGAGAGGCTTGGGCCTGGTTGAGAGGGAGCTGAGCAGGTTGGGGTGGGCTGAGTTGGGACAGTTGACTGTGGATGAATGATGAGAATGGAGATGTGATTGGCAGGAACTCTGGTGTGTGTGAAGGAGGATGTGTTGGTGAGGGAAAGATAGAAGGAGGTAGGAAGGTAAAATCTAGACTGGAATGTGGGGAAAGGCAGAGAGAAAGAAGAGGTCAGGATAGGATAAAACAGTAAAGGGCCCTAGAGAGATAAGCACTTTTTCCGCCTGCCACTGTCTATATCTGTATTTACATGCACACAAAGGATAACTGGATGTGTCAGCCTTCCCCCTGCATGTCTTGTATGTCTGATCTGTATTGCCAGGCTGATTTAGACTGTAAGCTCCCTGGGCAGAGGGCCATGCCTTCCTCAACGTTTGTTTCAGGAAAGGTACAACATCAGCACTCAGTAAATAAACATGGATGATAGTAATACACTGCATTAGCCCAAGCTCAGGCTGGACTCTAAGGCTATAGGGAATTTTCTAGGCGGTCTCAGGACTTAGAAGTCCCCTGAGGCCCTCCATGCAGTGGTACTTTAAACATGGGTCCCACTTATATGTGGATTTGAGTCCTGGCTGGTAGCAGGATACCTAGGGCCCAGACTTTAGTTCCATAATGCCATTGGGGCTGAGGGGGGAGCAATCGCTGCTGGAGAAAACTGGGATCAGGAAGTCATGATTTAGAAAGGTTGGGGGTGCTGGACTTGGTTTCCTCCCATTGGCCCCAAGTTTGAATGTAGTGCCTGTTACGGGGTAGTCAGCTCCTTTAAGGGTCTGTGAGCCTGCAGCCAGGCGGCCCTGTTTGATTATTGGACCCAGTTGCAGAGGGTTCAGATGATGCCTATAAAGGGCTGAGAGAGCTCAGCTGAATGTGGGGAAGGCACTCATCCAGTTATATCCTGGAAAGTCCTCTTTTTGGCTGGGTTGTCCCCTGTCTGGTAACTGGACATGCTTTTGTCTGGTATCAGATGGGGGACACCATTTTGAATAGCATGCCACTCCGCCCCCACCAGCCTGACCTCGCGTGCGATGTGCTCTTGAAACTGGTGTCCCCGTGTGGCGTGACCTCACACACACCGTGCATCCAATGTCGTGCCAGCAGGGGTCATTCCCAGAAGTGCCAGAATGTCCAGTATTCTGGTAACTTGAGCAACCACCCTAGTTGGATGGAAGCTGCAGGAGGGAGGCTGGTTCCTGTGACTGGCCCTGGAGGAGGGTGAAAGGCTCCTGCAGACTGTGTTGGTCAGGGGAATAGTTTTGGGGGTGTGTGTGCGTGTGTGTTACTTTTGTTTGGATTAATAAACTGTGGGAAGGGCGTGAAAGTTACCTGGTCATGGTGTTTAATCCTTCCGGGGGACACACCAGCAGCAGTCTGCCATACCTTATGGGCTGGGAGCTGACATGCTTTCGGCTAGATTCACAAGTGGGACTTAGGCTATGGCTACGCTACAGCTTAAGTTGACATAAATTATGTGTGAGTTAGCCACCCCCCTTTAGTGCCGATATGGACAGTGTTATGTCAGAGGGAGAGCTTCTGTCCTTTGTAAGACACAAGAGGTAATTTTCCTGCCTTACTCAGCACTAGTGAGGCCTCTGTTTGAGTACTATGTCCAGTTTTGGGTGCCAGATGTGTACAAATTAGAGAAAGTCCAGAGGAGAGCAATAAAAATGATAAAAGGTTTAGAAAACCTGACCTATGAGGAAAGGTTAAAAAAAGCTGGGCATGTTTAGTCTTCAGAAAAGAAGACTGAGAGGGCACCTGAGAACACTCTTCAAATAGGTTAAGGGATGTTATAAAGAGGATGCTGTTCAGTTGTTCTCCACATCTATTGAGGATAGAACAAGAAATAATGGACTCAATCGGCTGCAAGGGAGCTTTAGATTAGATATTAGGAAAAACTTTTGAACTATAAAGATAAGTAAGCTCTGGAATAGGCTTCAAGGGAGGTTGTGGAATCCCCATCATTGGAGATTTTTAGAAACAGGTTAGACAAACACTTGTCAGGGATGGTGTAGATTTACTTGGTTCTGCCACAGTGCAGGGGGCTGGACTAGATGACCTTTTGAGGGCTTTTCCAGCCCTATATTTCAGTTATTCTGTTTTAAAAGTTGTGGAGACATGGTGGGGTATATTAAAATAACTGTATGTCCCAGGAACTTTCTTCAGGACACTTGAAATGCCCCCTTTTTTATTTAATCAATTCAAATACATGGTTTTTTTTTTAATCTAACTACAAAATGTTTGTTCCAGATGTATTGCTGTACCAAGCAGAATTTGCTGGCTTACCAGGAATAACAGTGAAGTGGAAACCAGGTTTAGTGTTGGGAAAAGTGTTGGAATGAAAAGTCAAATGAGCATGGATCTTCCATTGTTGTTTGCATTGTTGTTATTGCCATGTTGGTCCCAGGACATAACAAGGACAAGGTGGGTGAGATAATATCTTTTATTGTACCAACTTCTGTTGTCGCTGTCTCTTCCACCAACAGAAGTTGGTCCAATAAAAGATATTATCTCATCCACCTTGTCTCTCTCAAATGAGTGTGGATGAGATCAAAGCTGTTCTTCTTCTCAAAGTGAATGTCAGTGACACTTGTTCAGTGTTTCATGACAAATACATTCAGAGCACTTAGTTACTGGGGGGGAAAAATCCTCCCCTCTGAGAAATGAGCATGTGTCACTGAGTCAGAAGTTGGAAGTAGTGATACCACCATGATTTTTTTTTTAAATACTTTTCCTGTTGTGTGACAAATTCACAATCTAAAACATAGATCTGCAAAAACACCCCCGTTTTTGATTTTCAAAATATGCCCACATTCGGAAATATCCAAATTGGTTCCGCTTTGCAATTACAGCTTTTTTATCCCATTTCTGATTAAAATAATAGGGACAAAAACAGCTATTCTGATTGCTAAAAAGGTTAACTATTTAAAATATTGGGGGTCTTTTTATTTTGTTCCCTAAATCTATGACATTGCATCCAGTTTTAAGCACCTTATTTTAAGAGGGGTCAGAAAAGATCCGGCACATGGATCAAAGATATGGAAGCTCTTAGTCATAATGATAGGCTAAAAGCTGTTTCAGCACCACTGGTGATATTAGGTGTACTGGAACCTTGTAGTGGGGCTACACTTCCTCCAAACCTCGGAGTTTCTTAGTGGCAACAGGTGGTACTGCATACTACCTGTTCAGCAGCCAGACTGTAGATATTAACACAGTCTACAGTATGACCAAGAGCAGGGCATGAATCACAAGCCATCCCTCAAAATAGACGTATGCGCCCACACAGCTGGCTTATTTTTGAAAGATCCCATGGAAGGCATACATTTTAAGGAGAGATTTGAATGAGGAAAGGGAGGTTGTTGGATGCACTGGTCAAGGAAGTCTTCCAACCATGGAAGGAGGTAAACAGAACAGAGTGGAGAATGATACAGAGGATGCTAGCAGGCAGGCTTGAGAGCAATGGAGTGAATAAGATGAGAATAAATGGAAATGAGAACAGGGATGCAGGTGGTGCAGAGATGCAGAAACTCGTGGAGGTAAAGGACCGGAAACTTGAACTTGATGTGGAAGGAGAGGAGATTCCAGCGAAGGGACACAGGGGACTTGGTGTATTAGGGTAATGAGTGATCATTACTGTCATGCTATCTGGAGTGGCTCATGACTGTGAGTGCCTACCTCAGGGCAGACTGTCAGAAATAAGGGCAGATACTCCAGACTGGCGGTGTGTTCTATGATTAGATTTCACCAAGCCAGTTACAAATGTGAACTCCTGGATCACTATACCAGTCTTACCATGGAATCGCAGACAGTCCCCTGAGACTCCCTAGTCTATCTTGCAACCCAGACAAACTGAACTTTGTGATAAATGGTCACTTACACCAAAAATCACACCGCATTCAGGTTGCTTCCAGTCCCAAGAGACCAGTCACTTAGCCCAGATCGACTGGTACCCTAGATCTTACATCAAAGACAATGCCTCTAGCCAATCCTGTAATAAACTATCTA